TGAGGAAAAGTGTTGGAAGACCCTTTTTCCAGGGTTGGACACACACACACAAGCACACACACACACCAAAAAACAAAAACACCATGTGTCCCTAAGGATCCAGGTACCCTCTGAGAAGGTGGGACTGGGGTGGGTTTGGAGGGTCCAAGTACCTTTTGAGGAGGTACGATTGATCCCTATAGGCCTATAGGGTGTTCTTTTGGTGTAAACCGTCATAAACTCCATGAAGCTCCCTCAAACATGGGAGGTCGAGACTCCCCCAGAAACCGATCCCCCGCAGGCAGAGTGCGGCCCGACCTCTGACCACCGGAACTGGGCGCCGGAGAACCTGAGAAGGTGGGTTTGAGGTGGTGCCAGGGGTCGTCTTAAGTCGTCGAATCATAGCCACTCGGGCTCCGAATGGCCCATCTCCTCAGGTTCGGTGGTTAGAAGACCCCCCAAACCACCCACCCACCCTCACCACCGAACCGAAACGGAGGTAGGCCGATGTGGGCCGAAAGGCTTGATTACAGACGGATGAACCTCCTCCAGGTACTTGGAGATCAACGTGGCGGGATTCCGGAAGCTCCTGAAGCGCCACGAAAAGCAGGCGCTTTCTCCGCGCGCGCGTTCTCCGCACGCGAAACGCCGTCGGGGACCCTTCGGAAGGCCGGCCTTAAATGGCATAGCCTTCCAATGGCTACCGGTATACAGCATGCTCCAGCATGCTCGTTGAGTAGCGCAGTGGTCGCAGTATGTCGCAGTGGTTTTGAGAGTCACGCGTCGAAGCGAGGCGATGTGTGTTAAAAACCATTGGATGTAACATTTAAAAACAAAAACACATATACCAGCTTCCTCAACTTGACCTTTTGAAGGTTCCTAAGTGACCCTTATATAGGAGGCTTAAGTGACCTGAAACCGTACATGTTTTTTTTTCCACGGTTCCATGGTCTCTCTTTGCTCGATATTTCTTGGAAGACGAGCATCCGTCAGTTTCTCAATCAAGGAGTGGAGGGATTTGGGCAGGCTGGAGTCCGGACTCAGGGAGGTGCCGATGTCGCTGCTTCGCCACTGCTCAGTCAGGTGCCCCACATGTTCCACGCGTCCAAGACGCCAAGCTTAGGTGCGGAAGGGAGGAAAGGAGTGGAGTGGAGGACCGTGAGGAGGGTGATTGACGGGATCAACTGGGGTACGGCTGGATGGTGGGGCACAAGACATGAATGGAACACATCCAAGCAACACACCCTGAACCTCCATGCGGAACAATCTCACTCTATCCATGGATGAGGTGTTTTTGGATGCTTTTGGAGCAGGATGATTGGAGATTGTGTGTTACTTATTATGTTGCCAAGTCATTCACGTTGGAACTTGGAACAAAGCCTCAAAAACGATCCAGCAATGCCTTTGCATTGCCATGTAAGAAACTGAACAGCTCGCTGTTCGATTTGAATTCATTCCTTGGTGGCAACTCTCAGGCCACCCACGGGAGCTCGGACCAGTCGTTCACTTCACGAAAAGTGGTTCCCATCAGCTGGGTATGTTGGAGTTGGGTATGCTGCGGGTGTAGCGGGCTCCACTGTCCCAGGCTTTCACAAGTTGGTGACAAAGAGTTCAAGGCAGCTGATTGACATTACCACCATGTTCCTTGGTCGAAGCGGCCCTGAGGTCGTGTTGAGCCCGGAGAGATTGGAGTGATCCATAAATATATAGAGATCCCGCCATAAAAATCAGCGCCTCAAAGCCACCAACAGTTTTCGAAGTGCATTGAAATGTATTGATCATGTTTTCTCGATCTATGCAACCAGCACACAGCCCTTAGGGGCTGTGCCCTTTTTTCTGTTTTCGAGCTATCGCTTGGTCGGTTGGTCACCATTCCTGGTTCGAAGACCTCCCACAAACCGAGGAAGATTGGACTGTGACGTGGTGAATTCTCCTAACTACCGGTTTGAGGTGGCACTAAACCGCTGTGGTCATCGAACGAATAGTGCTCCCTGGGGGCCAAATACGCCAACTGGGTATACTTCATGGGTGAGTGGAGTGAGTGTGTGAAAACCACCTGTGACTGGCGTTCGGCTTTCCTCCCTTGTCTTCCACTTCATGGATGATGTCAGCGTATTTGTTCTCCATGAGAAGTTCAGCTCTCATGGGAGACAATCCCTCAATAGACTAAGCGACCTGGGTCTAGGACTCCTTCCAGCATCTTCTACAGCTGGACCTGAATGACCCTGGAACTTCAACAAGTTACATATATATGCGCAAAAGCTTCAATGCGTGCCACCATTGTCGTTCAGGTGCCACGTCGTTCGACCGCAGGGACTTCCGTTTCGGCCGGAGCCGGCAAAAGGTGCGCCCATGTGTGGTTGGCCGATCGGAGTCGGCCGGCTGCCAGTGTTTTCACATTGGTAGCGGAGCCCTGGCCACAGGGCCAGGGCTCCGGGTAGGATCCCGGCGCCGCAATGCATGCCGCCAGTTCGTCGACGTCAGACCACGGAGGTCTTCGATTTTTCTCTGGTGAGACCGAGGATAACAAGGAGTACAAGAGATGGAAAAACTGGGTTCTAGCAAAAATGCTCACGCTCGACAAGATGCCGAAGGAAGCCAAGGGAGCGTACGTCTTCACGCTCCTCAGTGGCAAGGCTCTCGAATGCGTCGAGCATTTGGATCCATCCGCCTACCAGAAGGAAGGCGGTGAGAAGGTCTTGTTTGACCTGCTGGATCAGCCTTTCCTCAGAAGGAGGTCACGGATGAGATGTCCGAGTCCCTCACCGAGATCTTCAATTTGAAAGCTGCTGACGGTGAGTCACTGAAGGCCTGGATTAGCAGGGCGTCCGAACTGTTTGATCGGTGCGCCAGAAAGACCAACGTCACCTTCCCCGACGAGGCCCGTGGTTGGCTCATCCTGCATCGCTCTGGGCTCAATGAGGAGCAGAAAGCTGTTGTTCTCGCCCGGAGTTTGGGAGTCATGAAAAGGGAAGAGATCGGCAAGGCTATGCGCAGCTGCTATCCTGAGTATGTGGTCTCGAAGAAGAGGACCCCTGCGGGTGTTGCCTTGTTGGAGGAAGATGAACCACCTCTTGATTCAGCCGACATGGATGATTTCAACGACATCGAACAGTTCTTGGCTGAGTATCAGGGCGAGGAGGACATCAA